GAGACTAACCCTGTATTCCCATAAGACCTAAGGTATGAGCCTTCTGGGAATACAGGGTTAGCCTCAACTCGGGGAAAATGTAAATTGTTAGCGCTATTGTACTAACAACATTTTCTCGTGCTTTCTTTTGTGTTTGGTAAGTTCTTTGCGTAATTGAATCTGCTGTCAAATAAAACAGCGGTTGTTCGCTTGGAATTCGAAAATGGAGTATTACGCAACGAGATTATTGGGGACAAACGTACTGTAGATTAGGGTTACTCATACAGAGGCAACTTGGGAAATGTGCTAGTCAAGTGTCTAGTATCACAGGAAAGTTACGGTTAGCGATTTCCAAGAATGTAATTGGTGGAAGAGGTGCGAAACCTGAAGAGATCACAGAAGATAAATTAAATTAATTCTGCTTGAAGAGAATTGGGAATTCAAGAGATGATTTACGAGGGGTTAAAAGAAATTCCAGAAGAAGAAGAAGCTACCAGTGGAGCCATGTACCAGCTCACCTATCAGTAAATTGGGGATGGCTTCTTTAGCATGATAAGATGATTATATTCCTCGAACAATGGGAAATGAGGCAATTAAGACAGTGCACATTGAGTTATGTGATAGGCGTTCTTCGTTCTCAAGTGGTTAATGAAGGTTAAAGCTTTTGTATGCTCCAATTTACTATTCTTAGAGCGATCTTAAAAGGTAATCATCAAATCTAGACAGTGATAGATATCTGTGAATAGCATTTCWGGTATGAAGATGTCTTGCACTTTGGGCACAGACACTGWCTCCTTTGGATCATACGAAATCTGGGTTACCGTTCGATAGCCAGGTWTTGGAACAATAGATTAGTTRAATCCGTGTTAGTTGCACGCGGAAACAGAATGTTCCCAAAAACAAATAGTCGACCGAGAACGTAGCTATRTATAGAAAAAAGTCCACAMCGTTTGGAAAATCCTCATTCCGGCGTTTTTAGTATGTCAAAGAAGTTACTCAAGACCACTCAACARCCTTCTTCTGAGGAACCTGTAAAGCAAACTCACATGCACGAACGAAATGAATCATGGGAAGATATAAAATTTCGACATAAGTCTTGCAGCATTTTTGTTTTAAGAATCCCAACCAACCACAATACAGCGCGCGCTCGTGTTATTGTTTACATACGTTTAAATGCGTCAAGCATACAATAGATTATTTAACAATTAGATCTCGAGGGCGAGTGGACTACGAGTTGATAGMCCATTACCAAACTAGTTGGACAAAAACTAGTTGGACAAAAAATGTTTTTATTGCTAAAAATACGCAAAAACTTGTCGCTTTTCGCCAGTCGAGGACTATTGAAAATAGACCAAGAGTAGCGTAGCCAATCAGAACGAAGATTTGCAATAGTCCACTACTATGGTAATACTAAAGATTGATAGTACAGTAAAGTTATTTCTGTCCAAACTGAAAGGATGGGAGACGATCCACGGTCACTTTAAGAAATCCTAGGAATCCGCCATTTWCGTGTCTTCCTAAAATGGCGCTTTGGCTCGCAAGGTACAACGGTTGGTTGTGATTCTTTAAGTCTTTTTTTTATTTGTGTGGAAAAGGAAAGCGATTTTACTCTTATGTTTCCAGTTCAAGATCGTGACCTAAATTCACAAGACGTTGCAAAAATCAACGCTCCCTAGTTAATTCAAATCTGGAAAAGTTTAATTGACAACACCTTATAATGGAAGTCAAATATTCTATCAAACTTGAAGGTTCGAAAATGCTCCAAAGATCGACAAAGATTAAAACTGCTCTATTATTTTTATCATTCAACAACAAAATTTTCCAAAGCGGCGGGCTCTATGAACTGATAGTACCCCTCCGCTACGGGCACTGTCTCGTCGAGTGGTAGAATCTCCACCAAATGAGAGCGGAGGAAAATTGTTGTTTGAATTATAAACAACAGTATATATTTCTTTATCTGTTATTATACTTGCTATATCTGTTATTATACTTGCTATATCTGTTATTATACTTGCTATAGCTTAATACCAACATAGCTATATTCTTTGTTGGATTTTGATCACTAATAGCTATTGTGACTGTTTTTAGCTGGAATGTGGATGGAGTGGAGTCAGTGGAGTAAAGGATGTTACATGCCTAAGATCTGCGTCCCAAGAAGAAACAGGACCTGCTTGAGTCGTGCACCATATACTCCAAGCTGCATTGGATCGGCGCTAGAAATAAAACAATGTAGACCACTGCCAGAAGTAAACAACACGAGTGAGTTGAACTTAATTTATAAGAGGCGACTCCTGAAAAATCACTTTACTTCTAGAATTAGGAAAATTTCTTCATGACTTCCCATCTTTACTGCTTTTTCCTCGTGAGCTCAAAATTGTACATGACGACTACCAAACTTTAATACCAACAGACTGCAAGAATCCACTTGGAATGGAGAACGGCAGAATCAAAGATTCACAGATTACAGCTTCATCTGTGTTATCAGTGGATCCCCATGCTGATTACTTTGCTTCACATGCTCGTCTTCACCTGAAAAGTTCAGGAAGGATTATTGGTGGATGGGCTCCAGATGCACCCTACTTGAACCAATTCATCCAAGTTGACCTTGGCAACAGGACAGTCATCACCAAGGTAGCCACTCAGGGAAGAGCCGAGCTTACTTATAATCAGTTTACTAGCGAATATTCATTGTCCTACAGTGATGACGCTACTGACTGGAAAGATTACGAGGGAGACTGTGTTAAGGTGAGAATGCGCTTGTGAATGTAATACGGCCTTCCCATGGGTCTTGAAAATAGTATGTGAAAAAATGCATAACGATTCGGCGAAGCTACAACAGGGGGCGAACATTACACTCCCCTAGTCTCATTGTATTATATTGTAAAATTATGTTCAGTATAGACCAGTTCATGCATCCACCTTTTCAATGTTACGTGATATATGCATGCCATCAAGGGTCAACATTGACTTATTTCAAAAATTGAAAAAAAAATGTTCACACCGTTGTTTTTCATGTTTTCTTGACCACCGTTGTGGGCATGAATAAGGTTTGGGGCAGATTGTACGAATGGTGGATAAAGCTATCAACTCCATAGATTTTTATGGATTTTATCCGACGAAATAGTTATCGCCCATCACTTATTAACCCTTTGCGCAACCCCTCACAATTTTAAAATCATATTGACAATGATAACGTTATTTGTATAGATATTCCCTGGTAACACTGATCAAAATACTGTGGTCACCAACGAGTTTGAAGTACCCATAATAGCACGGTATGTCCGACTAATTGTTAAAAGCTGGACGTCGCATGCATTCATCCGGATGGAACTTTATGGCTGTCCATACAATCCTGCCTGACTCTTAATTCTAATTTTGTTTGCCGACGCTGACCTGAGCTGATGATTGGAGYTACACTTTGCATTTGCGTATGATTTTAACTTAAGAGAAGGCTGGATATATACCGGATAAAGTTATCCTTTCCTGAGGGTCTCAATGGGGTGGTACGCATCACGACTCACGGCTAGAAATTTGGCGATTTCACGACTCACGACTAATTTTTTCGAATCACGGTTAACTAGATTACTTTTAGAAATTTTTGAATTACGTTTTTCATTGCTTTTTTTTCGTATGAATAGAATGCGTGACTTATTCGTACGAACATGGATTTTTCTATTTCAAATAAGCCGAAATGCGACTATTTCCAGGAAAAAATGATTAATCATAAATTCATAATACACACAAAAAAATCCAAAAAGTGTTAAACATAGCAGGTATTGAGAACATAGTAGTGACATTGCTGCAGTCCGTGTCTGACATGGTCTGACATCGGAGTTTACGAAATTTCATTAAGTGTCGCTTTTCGCGATGATGTATTCTATGCCGGGCTAAATGTGCATGGTAAAATCAGGAAGTTTGTAGCGTATTCATATTATTATTTGA